ATGGACGTCGCTCGTACGTCCATGATGCATGCGGCTGCCCCCCATTTTCTCTGGCCGTTTGCGGTTCGGTACGCGGCGCATCAGATCAACCTTCACCCCAGGGTCTCCATGTGGGAGACCTCCCCAGCTTTGCTTTGGACGGGGAAGGTTGGCGATGCGTCTGCGTTCCGTGTCTGGGGATCTCGGGCGTTTGTTCGCGACTTGTCTGCGGACAAGCTGTCCCTTCGTGCTGCTCCTTGCGTCTTCCTTGGCTACCCCCCTGATGCGCCAGGGTGGCAGTTCTACCACCCCACCTCTCGCCGCGTTTTGTCCTCCCAGGACGTCACGTTTGACGAGTTGGTCCCCTACTACCGCCTCTTCCCCTACCGCACTACGTCCCTCCCCCCGCCACCGCTCATTCCTTGTGCCAGGTCCCCCCCCGGTAGACCCCCTCTACCCTCAGGGTCCTGCCCCTTCAGGTGTGTCCCAGATAGACGTAGTCGAGCCTGTCGAGGTTACTGGTGACTCTGGTGCTGCTGAGAGTGCTGAGCCTGGGGGTGCTGACTCTGGGGGTTCTGAGCGTGTGGGTGCTACGCCTGCGGGTGCTAGCCTACAGGTGCTACTACTAGGGGTGCTGAGCCTAGGGGTGTTGAGACTGGGGGTGCTGAGCCTGGGGGTGCTGAGCCTAGGGGTACTACGCCTGGGGGTGCTGAGCTTGGGGGTGCTACATCTGGAGGTACTGAGCCTTGGGGTGCCACGTCTGGAGGTGCTGAGCCTGGGGGTGAGGAGCCTGCAGGAGCTGGGCCTGCTCGTGTGGCGTCTGGCGGTGCTGGGCCTGGAGTTTCTCCGGGTGCTTCGTCTCAGCGGGAGCCACTCTCTCCACAAGAGCTGCGCGAGTGGTTTGCCCGGCGCTAGAGGCGTGCTGCTGGAGCTGGAGTTTCTTCGGCTGCTGAGGGTGCTGGTGCTGCGGGTCCCGGAGGTGCACGTACAGGGAGTACAGGAGTTGTAGGGCCTGCAGGTACGACTGGAGCTGGAGCTGCTGAGGGTGTTGGCGCTGAGGCTACTGCTGTCGGTCCTGGAGGCGGTCCTACTAGGGGTGCTACTGAAGCTGCTGGAGGTACTGGAGCTGGAGGTGCTGTTGGCGCTGGTGCTGCCACTGGGGGTGCTGGTGCTGTTCTTGCTGTGTCTGGAGTCGCCACGGGGCCTTGGCCGTACTTCGTTCCGCTCCTACAGCAGGTTCTTGGTCTCCCGCCTTCTACTGGTCCTCCTCCTCCCTTAGAGTGTCCACAGTCTGTCCCGTCATAGTTACAGTTAAAGCCGGCCTCCCCACTTCCTACTCCTTCTCCCTACAGTGGTCCTATTAGAGGTCTTGCTGAGCGACGTGAGCCTCCGTCTTGCCCTGCGTCGCCTGTCCGTGCTGCTTGCGCTAGTGGTCGCGGTTCACGTCTGCGTCCTCCTCCTATCCCTGGCACGCACCGGATGTCTCTGCATCCGTCCACTGCTCCTCTGCGTGCCCCTTTGCCTTCTCCTCCTGAGTCCTCTCTTCCTGCTCTTCGCAACCCGAGTTGCACTCTCTTGGAGCAGCGGGTCCTACTGTCACGCGTCTCCTTGCTACTGTCGTCACTGACCCTTCCTTTGAGTCCACTGCTGCGTCTGCCCTAGTTGCTGAGCTCGTCAACTTTGCTGCTCGCTGTCGTCGAGACTACGCTGCTAGTCTTCCGTCTAGGGTGTGTCTGTGTCTATGTTTGTCTGTCCTCCGTCCGTCGGGGGTGAGTGTGCCCTTGGCACGGACGTCCTTGAGGACAGGCAAGAGGAGTTCCGATGTCTGGCTGCAGCTTCACCTCATCTCATGTCCGTTTTGCTTACCCCTGAGGGAGACCCGGATGCACTTGACATCCCGACTCCGGGCTCTTACGCGGAGGCGATAGAGGGTTCCTACTCCTCTCAGTGGCAAGCAGCTATGGACACAGAGATGGCTTCCTGGAAGTCCACAAACACCTGCGTTGACGAGGCTCCCCCGCCTGGGGCGAACATCGTCAGTGGCATGTGGATTTTCAGGGTGAAGCGGCCGCCGGGTTCTCCGCCTGTCTTCAAGGCGCGTTACGTGGCGCTTGGTTTCAGTCAGCAGCAGGGAGTTGACTACTTTCAGACCTTCTCTCCCACCCCGAAGATGACCACTCTTTGGGTACTGCTGCTCATAGCTGCTCACCGTGACTACGAGCTGCACTCTCTTGACTTCAGCACTGCTTTCTTGCAGGGCAGCCTGCACGAGGAGACCTGGCTGCGTAGCCCACCTGGCTTCACCCAGTCTTTTCCTCCTGGCACCCACTGGAGCCTCTGGCGGCCAGTCTACGGTCTCCGCCAGGCACCGCGTGAGTGGCACGACACACTGAGGACTACGCTTGCGGCTCTTGGGTTTGCTCCCTCTACTGCTGACCCGTCGCTGTTTCTGCGCACCGACACTTCTTTGTCGCCGTTCTACATCCTTGTGTACGTGGACGACTTGGTCTTTGCCACAGCTGACACTGCTAGACTCGCCCACGTGAAGTCCGAGCTGCGGAAGAGACACACGTGCACAGACCTGGGTTAACTGCGCAGCTACCTTGGCTTGCAGATCACCCGGGATAGAGCACGCCGCACCATTACCCTGACTCAGTCACACATGGTGCAGCAGGTCCTTCAGCGCTTCGGCTTCACGTACTCCTTGCCTCAGGCCACTCCTCTGCCTGCTCGCCACTCGCTCTCAGCTCTGCCTTTCGGATGAGTCGGTAGAGTTGAGTGGCCCGTACCCAGAGCTTGTTGGCTGCGTCATGTACCTGATGACCTGCACACGACCTGACCTTGCATACCCTCTTAGCATTCTTGCACGCTATGTTGCTCCCGGGAGACACCCACCAGAGCATGGCTGCAGCGAACAGGGTGTTGCTCTACCTGTGCAGTACGTTGGGCATGGGGCTTGTGCTTGGAGGGCAGAGTCCAGTGGTCCTCACTGGGCGCGCAGACGCTTCCTCACCAGGCTACGCAGCGGTCGTCACAGGGTTACACCTTCAGCCTCGGTTCCGGCTCTGTTTCGTGGCGGGCTACCTGCTCGTCTTCTGTTCTGGGCTCCAGTTGTGAGGCTCAGATCTACGCCGGGGCCATGGCTGCACAGGAGCTTCGCTGGCTCACCTACGTGCTGAGTGACCTCGGAGAGCTGCCTTGTTCTCCTCCAGTGCTGTACGTAGACAACAAGGCCATGCTGGCCTTGTGTCGAGACACTACGGTCTACAGTTTCCTAGGGTTACATATTTGTACCCAACTCATTTCCTAGTCAGTCATTCCACTCAGTTTCTTCACATGGTATAGAGCGGGTTCCCTAGTGGGACCGTTTCTTCCTAGGGCCCACCATCGAATTTTTATTTCCTACCCTTCTCGAAGCGCGCTTTGCACTCTGCCCTGCTGCTGCAGTTGCGGTCCTGACCTCTCAAACTTTCGTGGCCCCTTAGCGGCCTGCCCTGCTCATGAGGCCCGTTGCGGCCCCTCGCGGCCCCTTCGCGGCCCCGCCCCGTCGTGCGTCGTGGCCCCGTCGCCTGTTGCGGCCCCGTCACCTGTCGCGGCCCGTCGCTGCCCTGCTGCGACCCTCTCTGCCGCCCATACGTGGCCCGCCCTGCCTTGGGCGCGGCCCTCCTCGGCCCCGGGCGTCAACCCCCTTCGCGGCCCGCGCGGCCAGCTTGTACTTGTACTGATTTCACTGTTAGTTCAATCATTCCTGTTCGTTCATTTCAACATGGTATAGAGCAGGTCCTTCGCTAGGACGGTTTTTTTTAGGGCCCACCACTACCTACCTACCTTCCTACCTAACTGCGCCCTAGGGCGCCTCGTTTTTCACAGCCCCCTAAGGCCCCGCGACCCGCGACCCGCCCCTTAGCGACTCGCGCGCCGCCCCTTAAGGCCCCGTCGGCCCACGCGCTCGCCCCTTACGGCCCCGCCCTCGCCCCTTAGCGGCCCTGTCGGCCCCGCGATCGCTCCTAACGGCCCCGTCGGCCCCGCGCTCACCTCCCTAGAGGCCCTCGTCGGCCCCGCGTTCGCCCTTAGCGGCCCCTTACGGCCCCCCGCTCGCCCCTAGAGGCCCCGAACGGCCCCGCGCTCGCCCTTAGCGGCCCCTTACGGCCCCGCGCTCACCCCTAGAGGCCCCGAACGGCCCCGCGCTCGCCCTTAGCGGCCCCTTACGGCCCCGCGCTCGCCCCTAGAGGCCACGATCGGGCCCTCGCTCGCCCTTAGCGGCCCCTTACGGCCCCGCGCTCGCCCCTAGAGGCTCCGATCGGTCCCGCGCTCGCCCCTAGAGGCCCCAAACGGCCCCCCCCAGAACGAGCCGCCCGACCCGAGCAGCCCGAACCGAGCCGCCCAGCCCGAATTGAGCCGCCCGAACCGAGCCGCCCAGCCCAAACCGTGCCGCGCCGCCCAAACCTAGCCGCGCCGCCCTTCCCGAGCCGCGCCGCCCTACCTGAACCGAGCCGCGCCGCCCGTAATGGACCGAGCCGCCCTACCTGAGTCGCACTGCCTACTGTTTTTGGGGTGCCCCTACTGCTATTACTCCTACTACTACTATGGCTAGCCCTCCTGTGCTAGCTTTCGATGCTGAGTGCCGCCCAGTGAAGTTTGAAACCTGGCTAGATGACCTACACCTCTTCCTACAGCTCACTGCCAAGGAGGACATCTCACTGTACGATCACGCCCTAGGCCATGCTCCTGCTCCTGCTGCTACTGCTGACAGCACTGCCCGCTCACAGTGGCAGACTCGTGACGCCCACGCTCGCTTCGCTATTCGCAACTCCCTGCCGATAGATGAGCGCGAGCACTTTGGGCAGCACAAGACTGCACAGGCACTGTACACTGCTGTCGTTGCCCGCTACTCCTCACCGGCCTCTTCCGCACTACGCCGTCTCTCTCTTCCCTACCTGTTCCCCGACTTAGCCTCTTTCCACACAGTCGCTGACCTCATTACGCACCTCCGCACTAGTGAGGCTCGCTTCCGCTCCGCCATGCCTCATGAGTTCCTTGCCAAGAACCCACCCCCACTCTGGCTCACTCTCTACCACCTAGTCACCCGCCTCGCTGACACTCTACGCTCAGTCAGGGACCACTTCCTAGCTCGCTGCCCCACTGAGCTCACCATTGCCCTCTTTGAGAAGGAACTCCTTGCAGCTGAGGCTAGCATAGTCGCTGTAGGTGCCTCTCGTGGCGACCCCCGTACCCCGTTATTTGAGGGGTGTTCTCCTTCCCCCCTTCTTCACTATGTCGCCTCTGCTGCTGCTGTCAATCTCCTTGGTGCTGAGAAGGTTGGGACTGCGTCTGCTTCGAGCGGGCGCCGCAGCGGCAAGGGCAAAGGGGGTGAGGGCGGTGGCGGTGACAGCGGGGGAGGCGGTGGTGGGGGCGGCGGCGGCGGTGGGGGTGGTGACGCGACTGGAGGGGCTAGTGGCAGCGGTGGGGGTGGTGGCGGCAGCGGCGGGGGAGGTGGCAGGGGCGGAGGCGGTGGTGGGGGTGGCGGTGGACGCGGCGGCGGTAGGGGTTGGGGTGGTCGAGGAGGTGGCGGCGGCGGTGGTGGTTGTGGAGGCGCTGGCGGTGGCCAGGGCCAGCAGCACACTCCGTCGCCCCAGGAGGTCCGTGAGTGGTACTCTCAGCACCGGGGGGGGGGGGGTGGCTTTAGCTGCACGTACGTCGTTCGCACTGGTGACCGCACTGGTCAGCCGTGTGGGGGACCGCACGCCACACAGCGCTGCTTCGCTCGTCTGAACGATGTTTGGCGTGTTCAGTTCCCTCAGGCCACTAAGCTGCCCCGTTGGCTTGATCTCCTGAAGAAGGGGATTGATATCTATGCTCTAGACTTTGATGCTATTCTCACTGCTATGTATGTGTTGTCTACTAGTGGAGAGGGTGCTGAGTACATGTGTGTGCCGCCCGACCCGGGCATTAGGACTAGTGCGTCTGCCGCTCCAGGTACTCGCGTGTCTGCTACCCCAGATGCTGGTGAGGCAGCTACACTAGGTGCTTGTGCGTCTGCCCCCCCTGGTACTGAGTCGACGACAGCACTGCACACCTTCACACTGGACTCAGGTGCTTCTTGCTGCTTCTTTCGTGACCGCACTGCCCTTGAGCCGCTTGCTCGGCCAGTTGCTGTCTCCCTCGCTGACCCCTCTGGGGGTCCGGTCATTGCGACCTCCTCCACTGTCCTTCCCTGTCCTGCGGTCCCGTCGGGCACACTGTCAGGTCTCCACCTCCCCTCGTTCTCTACAAACTTGGTGGCAGGTAGTGCACTCCTGGACGGGGGTGTTCACCAGTTCACCCCTGCCTACGAGCGCGTGACACACTGCACGTGTGCTCGTACGGCCCGCCACTTGGCTACCTTCACTCCGCAGCCGGGGTCGGACCTATACACACTGACCACTGAGTCCCCTCAGGTCGCTGCGTCTGCGTCCGCGTCAGGTCAGCTGTCTGCCCCCTGCTCGTGTCGCTCTCTGGCGCACGAGACTGTTCTCTGGCACCACCGACTTGGCCACCCGTCTGTGTAGCGCCTTCGTGCCATGCACTCTTGGTACCTTGTCTCCGGTCTTCCCAGAGTCCTCCCACCCTCGCCTGCTCCTCCCTGTCTTCCCTGCGTCGAGGGGCGGCAGCGCGTCGCTCCTTACTCCTCCTCGTTTCCCCCGACGACTGCTCCCTTGCAGACGCTCCACATCGACGTGTGGAGCCCAGCCCGCGTCCGTTGTGAGGGTCAGGAGAGGTACTTCCTGATAGTTGTTGACTACTACTCGCGCTACACCACGATCTTCCCCTTGCGCACCAAGGGTGAGGTCCCTGATGTCTTGATCCCTTGGATCCGCAGAGCCCGTCTCCAGCTCAGCGAGCGTTTCCACTCGGACTTTCTTGTCCTGCGCTTGCACTCTAACAGAGGTGGTGAGTTCTCCTCTAACCTCTTGGCAGCCTACTGTGCTGAGCATGGCATTGAGCAGTCGTTCACGCTTCCGGCCTCATCACAGGAGAATGGGATTGCGGAGCGCCGCATTGGCTTGGTCATGGAGGTCGCCTGTACCTCCTTGATCCATGCGGCTGCCCCCCACTTTCTGTGGCCGTTTGCGGTCCGGTACGCTGCGCATCAGCTCAACCTCTGGCCCCGTGTCTCCTTGCCGGAGACCTCGCCCACACTGCTGTGGACAGGGGAGGTTAGCGATGCGTTGCATTTCCGGGTCTGGGGATCTCAAGCTTTTGTCCGCGATACGTCTGCGGACAAGCTCTCCTCCCGTGCTGTTCCCTGCGTCTTCCTCGGCTTTGTCCAGGACACGCCTGGTTGGCAGTTTTACCACGCCACCTCGCGCCGAGTCTTGCCCTCTCAGGACGTCACTTTTGACGAGTCCGTCCCCTACTACTGCCTCTTCCCCTACCACACTGCCCCGCTCCCCCCCCCCCCCGCCTCTCTTCCTCGCGCCAGGTGCTGGTGTCGTAGACCCCCTCCCCCCTCAGGGTGCCGCTCCCTCAGGTGTGTCTCAGGTAGACCCGGTTGAGCCTATTGAGGTAGCTATCGACTCTCGTCCTGCTGTGGGTGCGGAGCCTGGGGGTGCTGAGCCTGGGGGTGCGGAGCTTAGGGGTGCTGAGCCTTGGGGTGCGGAGCCTGGGGGTGCGGAGCCTGGGGGTGCGGAGCCTGGGGGTGCGGAGCTTGGGGGTGCTGAGCCATGGGGTGCGAAGCCTGGGGGTGCTGAGCGTGGGAGTACTGAGCCTTGGGGTGCTGAGCCGCAGAGTCCGGAGTCTGGGGGTTCTGAGTCTGGAGGTCCTGAGCCTGAGAGTCCTACACCTGGGGGAGCCCTCTCCTCGGAGCAGCTGCGTGACTGGTACTTCTAGTACTACAGCCTCAGGAGAGGTACCCCTGAAGCCAGGCGTACTACTGGGACTAGTGCTAGTGCTTCTCCTCCTAGCCGGGAGCTCCCCTCTCGTGAGCGGATCCGTGAGTGGTACGAGCGGCGCTGCACTCTTCAGAGTGGCGCGCCTTGTGTCGCGGATCCCGCTGCTACTAGTGGTGCTACTGGTGCTGGAGACTCTACTGGTTCAGCTGGTGCTGCGGCCCCAGAGGTTGGAGCTGTTTCTTGTGCTGCGGACCCGGGCGTTGGAGCTACGGCTGGTGCTGCGGACCTGGGCGCTGGTGCTGCTGCTGGTGCTGAGAACCCGGGCGTTGGAGCTGCTGCTGGTACTGAGGACCCGGGCGTTGGAGCTGCTGCTGGTGCTGAGGACCCTGGAGCTGGTGCTGCTGCTGGTGCTATGGAGTCGGGCGTTGGAGCTGCTGCTAGTGCGGAGGACCATGGCGCTGGTGTCTCTGGTGGTTCTTGAGTCGCTGCACGGCAGCGGCCGTACTTCGTTCCGCTCCTTCAGCAGGTTCTTGGTCTCCCGCCTTCTATCGGTCCTCCTCCTCCCTTAAAGTGTCCACAGCCTGTCCACTCACAGTTACAGTTACAGCCCACCTCCCCACTGCCTGCTCCTTCTCCCTACACTGGTTCTACTGGAGGTCTTGCTGAGCGTCGTGAGCCTGCGTCTCGCCCTGCGTCGCCTGTCCGTACTGCTCCCACTAGTGGTTGCGGTTAGCGTCAGCGTCCTCCTCCTGTCCCTGGCACGCACTGGATGTCTCTGCGTCCGTCCACTGCTCCTCTGCGTGCCCCTTTGCCTTCTCCTCCTGAGTCCTCTCTTCGTGCTCTTCCCGACCCGGAGTCACTCTCTCTTCGTGCTGCCAGTCCTACTGTCACGCGTCTCCTTGCTACTGTCGTCACTGACCCTTCTTTTGAGTCCACTGCTGCGTTTGCCCTGGTTGGTGAGCTCGTCAACTTTGCTGCTCGCTGTCGTCTAGACTACGCTGCTAGTCTTGTCGCTGAGTCTAAGTCTGTCTGTCCTCCGTCCGTCGGGGGTGAGTGTGCCCTTGGCACGGACGTCCTTGAGGACAGGCATGAGGAGTTCTAGTGTTTGTCCGCTACTTCACCTAATCTCGTGTTTGTACTGCTTACCCCTGAGGGAGACCCGGATGCACTGGACATCCCGACTCCGCGCTCCTACGCGGAGGCGATAGAGGGTCCCTTCTCTTCTCAGTGGCAGGCAGCTATGGATGCAGAGATGGCTTCCTTGAAGTCCACAGGCACCTATGTTGACGCTGTCCCCCCTCCTAGGGCGAACATCGTCAGTGGCATGTGGATTTTCAGGGTGAAGCGGCCGCCGGGTTCTCCGCCTGTCTTCAAGGCGCGTTACGTGGCTCGTGGCTTCAGTCAGCAGCATTGAGTTGACTACTTACAGACCTTCTCTCCCACCCCGAAGATGACCACTCTTTGGGTACTACTGCACGTAGCTGCTCACCGTGACTACAAGCTACACTCTCTTGACTTCAGCACTGCTTTCCTGCAGGGCAGCCTGCACGAGGAAATCTGGCTGCGCCGCCCACTTGGCTTCACTGGGACTCTTCCTCCTGGCACCTAGTGGAGCCTCCGGCGGCCAGTCTACGATCTCCGCCAGGCACCGCGTGAGTGGCACAACACACTGAGGACTACGCTTGCGGCTCTTGGGTTTGCTCCCTTCATTGCCGACCCGTCGCTGTTTCTACGCACCGACACTTCTCTGCCGCCGTTCTACATCCTCATGTACGTCGACGACTTGGTCTTTGCCACAGCTGACACTGCTGGACTCGCCTACGTGAAGTCCGAGCTGCAGAAGAGACACACGTGCACAGACGTGGGTGAACTGCGCAGCTACCTTGGCTTGCAGATCACCCGGGACAGAGCACGCCGCACGATCACCCTGACTCAGTCACATATGGTGCAGCAGGTCCCTCAGCGCTTTGGCTTCACGTACTCCTCGCCTCAGGCCACTCCTCTGCCTACTCGCCACTCACTCTCAGCTCTGCCTTCGGATGAGTCCGTAGAGTCGAGTGGCCCGTACCCAGAGCTTGTTGGCTGCCTCATGTACCTGATGACCTGCACACGACCTGACCTTGCATACCCTCTTAGCATTCTTGCACGCTATGTTGCTCCTGGGAGACACCGACCAGAGCACATGGCTGCAGAGAAGAGGGTGTTGTGCTACTTGTGCAGTACGTCGGGCATGGGGCTAGTGCTTGGAGGGCGGAGTCCAGTGGTCCTCACTGGTCACGCAGACGCTTCTTGGGCTGACGACCAGGCTACGCAGCGGTCGTCACAGGGTTACACCTTCAGCTTTGGTTCCGGCTCTGTTTCGTGGCGGGCTACTCGCTCGTCTTCTTTTCTCGGCTCCACTTGTGAGGCTGAGATCTACGCAGGGTCCATGGCTGCTCAGGAGCTTCGCTCGCTCACCTACTTGCTGACCGACCTTGGAGAGCCGCCTCGTTCTCCTTCATTCCTGTACGTAGACAACAAGGCCATGCTGGCCTTGTGTCGAGAGCAGAGACTGGAGCACAGAACAAAGCACATTGCTCTCCGCTACTTACTTGCTCGTGAGCTACAGCAGGGTGGTTTGTTGCGGCTTGCATACGTGGCCTCTAAGGCCAACACTGCTGATGTCTTCACCAAGGCACTTGCGCCTTGTGATCATCAGCGCTTCTAAAGCCAGCTGGGTCTTGTACCTGTCTTGCCTCACTTGCTCACCTCTTGACCTTGCTTGTACTGTTACATATATAAATACCTGCTCTTGCTTGTCTAGCCTTATATATATATGTACTTCTGCATGTGAACTGTGAGAAGAAGTGAACGAGAATGAATAAACTATGAATGAAGAAAGTACAAATATGAAACCCTATTTGGGTTGTACCCCCTATGGGATACCCCACTATAGCCTACACAAATAAGTAAGCTATAATGTTTTGACACACCCCCATAGGCAAAGTGGGGGAAAACAAGGGGTCACAAGACCAGTCAAGCAAAGCAAAGAAAAGCTCAGGGTGGATCACAAAGTCACCACACATTCCGAGCGCAAGGTCAAGGGCCACAAGGCCAGTTCGCATGCAAGATCATATATAGAGATATACAAGAGTCAAGCAAGCAAGAGCAAGACTATATATAGGTCAAGGTACAAGCAAGGTCAAGAAGTGAGCAAGTGAGGCAAGACAGGCACAAGACCCAGCTGCGTGCAGCAACGCTGATGATCACAAGGCGCTAGTGCCTTGGTGAAGACATCAGCAGTGTTGGCCTCAGAGGCCACGTACGCAAGTCGCAACTGACCATGCTGCTGTAGCTCACGAGCAAGAAAGTAGCAGAGAGCAATGTGCTTTGTCCTGTGCTCCAGTCGCTGCTCTCGAGACAAGGCCAGCATGGCCTTGCTGTCTACGTACAGGACTGGAGGAGAACGAGGCGGCTCTCCAAGGTCGGTCAGCAGGTAGGTGAGCCAGCGAAGCTCCTGAGCAGCCATAGCCCCGGCGTAGATCTCAGCCTCACAACTGGAGCCGAGAACAGAAGACGAGCGAGTAGCCCGCCACGAGACAGAGCCGGAACCAAGGCTGAAGGTGTAACCCTATGACGACCGCTGCGTAGCCTGGTCGTATACCCAAGAAGCGTCCGCGTGTCCAGTGAGGACCACT